CATGACTATAATCCTAGCACTTTGGGAGGTCAAGGTGAGAGGACTGCCTGAGCCCACGGGTTCAAGACCAGTCTGGACAACTTGGCAAGATCTCATCTCTACAATAAACCAAAAACATTAGCCAGGTCTGGTGGTGTGCACCTGTAGTTCCAGTTACTTGGAAGGCTGGGGCGGAAGGATCGCTTGAGCCCAGCAAGTTGAGGCTGTGGTAGCTGTAAGCACGCCACTGCACTCCAGCCTGGGCGACAAAGTGAGACTTCCACTCAAAAAACAAACAAAAAAACAACAAAAAACGAGACTGCCTGAACAATCCAAAGTGGCTGCGCCTGGGTGAAAGGTTATAGGCATCGATGACAGTGACAGCAGAGATCATTCACTGAGCACCGACCAAGGGCCAGGCCTGACCGCCAGCCCTGGTGTCCCCTGAGAACACGAGTGCCGGGAGCACGAGGGCCTGTGCCCTACACCACACAACCCTCAGCTGCCTGATGGGAGCCCGGGCTCCTTGCCCCCACCTTCGATTCCTGTAGCTGTTACTATTTTACAAGGAATATGTAATTGCTTTCACATTATGGAACAGAAGTTCTGCCATTTTCAGAGGCAGTTTCAGCAATAAATTCAATTTGGAAAAAAGAGCTGCCTCCCCAATGCCCCTTCCCTGACCCCTGACCCACTCCTGCAGGTGCCTCCCCTCCACCACAGACAGGTTCTGGCATGGCTGCAGCCGCAAGCACAGAAGCTCATGGCATGTGGGGCTCTCCATCCCCCTTCAGGGTTGTCTCTGACCTTCACACCCCCAGAGCCATGGCAGTCATGACAAGGCTGGGATGGGGCCACCCTCCCCTGGTTCTGCAAAGTTTCCCAGGCCACTGCTAGTGGCTCCTGACCAATGGAGAGGCAGGGGAAGAGTGGAGGCGGGTGGGTGGGGGAGTGGCCAGAGGAATACTCCTCTCCCCTGCCACCTCAGACTGCATCTCCCATGCCCACCAAAGGCGGCCACATGCCAACCCCTGCTGTGGGCCTGGCTCCCACAGGATGGCCCTGGCCTGAGCTCTGGGTTCACCATCTTCTCCGCAGGGCCCTCCGCTCCCCTGACTGCACAACCAACTCCCTGGATTTAATTCCCTGTGCTGCTATTTATGTTTATACATACATATCTGTATAGATGTATACAAAGATTATATACAAACATACATATATATATATTTTTTTTTTTTTTTTTGAGTTGGAGTCTCACTCTGTCGCCCAGACTGGAGTGCAGTGGCCACTCTGCTG